GTGAGTGAATGAGTGAGTGAATATTATGAGAGTGAGGAAGTAGAAAGCTCAAGTTAGCTAGAAAAAAATAATCAAAGACAAGTCTGCTACCTCAATTGTGCTATTAATCGAGAGAATTACTCCCGATCACTCAAACACTCCGGACAACCCCCATGGTTCATAAATGATTTAATCAAATCCTGGGTAAAAGTCGTTGCATCTTGTGCAAACGGTGCATATACAACCTACCATAGACCACTCACATGTCCCCAACAAACAAGTGTTTAATCATATCTCACGGGGAACCTCATCTCTTATTACCGTCTCCTGACGAGGTGAGTGATACTGAATAGAGTGGCCCTTAGCCCCATGTCACTGAATTTTCATTGATCACGTCCTGTCTGGTTACCTCACTCCTAAATGTTTTGAATTTTCTAGGACAAAGACACATTTTAGAGTCAGTCGCATGTCCAAGTGACCATGCGAGAACTTCCATAGAACTTATCTACTATAGATGCAAACCAATGATTAGAAAGAAGTTTTGATGTTGCAACATAGAAATCACCAACATGTTCAGGCCATTAATTTAGGGTTCAACTCTATAGTGATGATAACAGGTGTTTACGTTATCCCGGGGGGCTACAAGTTTTATTGTTGATCCTTGTGATCATGTTATAACGATCAAAGTGACATCTACTATGGATGATTCACGATGATTGGTCGGAAGTCCTGTCAGAGCTTTATCGCTTTTATTATTATATACAGGCCACACAATAGTGCTTTTTCATTGATGTTGTGTTAAAGAAACACCACAGTGTCTCCGGTCTTTGTCATTTCTTTTATTTTTAGTTTTTTGTTGTTACCCAGAATTGGTCCACATGAGGGGGGAGTTTCCCACATGTTGTTTACTCTCAAAAATCATTCTCGGACACTTCTCTCCTCCACCACAAAAATCGACAGTTCTCTACTCTCACCGATTCATCAAAACTGTCCAACCAGCTTAAAATCAAATGGTCAGCTTATTCATAAGAATCACCATCATTTCTGTTGTCCCACCGACAAGTGCTCCTCAAAAGCATTCACATCAAATAGTCGGAAAGACTACACTTTGTAGGAGACAGAGGTCGGATACTCAAGTACCGAAGATGAATCATGTGTGCGCCTGAAACTATTCAAGAACATTCATTCTAGAGGCACCGTCAGAGATCCAGACTTCATTCAAGATGATCAAGAGCAACTTCTAGAAGACAAAGATTAAAAGCAAGATTATGAAGATTCCTCAACCCCGGGCATCAAAGAACAAATTTCCAAAAGACAAATGAAACTGAGCAACACTGAAGATCAAGAAAAAAAGAGGAGAAACTCAACAAATCTCATCCATGTGTTCCTCTACATTGTAGATTCAACACAAAGACAGAGATACTCGCGCTGCAATGCTGATTGAACACGATTGAACACGAAGGGAGAGAATGTTAGAGAATATTTTCTGGTGTCCAATAATGTTTTATTTAGTTGTATTTGTGTTGTAATAACTTTAGTTATTTAATGTGGACTGCACATTTATTTAGGCCCATTTACCCGATGTAATACATGAGCTAAGCTCCATTATATATATAAGGAGTGTAGCCATACGTAATCCCTAAGAATCGTAGGCTAGGCATTCACACATTGAGAGAGAATTGAGAGAGTTGTTTCCTCTATTGAATGTACTGTTCATCAACGAAAAATCATTTTGATATTCAATACATAGATTCTTCCTCTCATTCTGCAACCTTACTTTTTCTTATTATTACACAATGGAGCGCAAAAATCAAAAGTTACGTGTTTGGTTAAAAAGTTGACTGATATGCTCGATAAATCGAAAAGATGACTCACCAAACAGACTCAAGATGTGATTATTATTTGCTTATGTAAGGATGTTTTAAATGGACTAAAATTTTCTGATATGGCCTATTTAAATATGGTCTTATCTCTCTAAATTTAGTTTAATCTAATATGATCTAGTCCGATAATCGTCTGATGTATGTATATTTTACTTGTCTAGTCTGATATGATAAAGGTTGTTCTATTTTAGTGTTGCCTGGTTCAGCCCTATTTATTTAAATCTGTGTGGTCTAGCCTCAAATTTAAAATATTCAAATTAAAATATGGTAAATGTTCTAATTTGCCTTAATCGAAATCTCGTCAATTATATATTACTACGGAATAATATAACTTTTTAATTGAAAACATTCCAATTATATAATTATTTTTATTGTTAATAACTGTTAAGAATTCATGTAATTCTTTTGTTTAATGAGTGTGATCATTAGATGTGCGGTTAGACGGGAATAACATGTTAATAAACTTTGTTACTTTCTACTCCGTATTATTATAAATAAATAGATATCATAACCAAGATTGACAATGTTCAACGAGTATATATATTATTTCCTACAATTTTTACAAATTTTAAGACTAAAAATATTCTTATCTTGTCTAATGAGTGTGATCATTAAATGTGTGATTGGACGGGAAAAACATGTTAATAAACTTTGTTACATTCTACGGAGCATTATATATTATTTCCTACATTTTTTACAAATAGTTTAGAAATGCTCTTATGTAACCAAGCACTCCAGTCCGTTGGGTGCAAGGTTACCTTGCCTAGCGTTTGGTCTTGGGTTCGAAGCCCCCACATCTGGGCGTAAACTATACCGTACAGCCGGCTGTACCTAGAGCATGGTACAGACGGGTTTTTTTGTAATTAATTTCACTCTATAGGGCAGTTGTTAAGCTAGTGCTTCTGTTTCTCCTTTTATTTTCAGCCGGAATATTGTGCAAAAAAGTATGGGTCGGAAGGGATTTGAACTCGGGCTCCATGGAGCGGAACGCCTACAACCAAATCAGCGAACTACGCTTGCTTCTTTGTTCATAGGTGTTACTAATTATATTTAATATGCTTTCGATCAAATACATTAAAACTAACTAGTACAACACTTGTTAAATAATAATAAAATTAATCATAATAAATATAAAAAAAATGTCTTATTTTTTTTGTTTTTTAAGATGAATATTTAGTAGTTTATTAAATATTGCGTGTTATTAAATGAGTTTTGTGTTATACTTAGATGAGTATAGTGTAAAATAGATGAGCATGAGTATATATTATAAAAACAACGCGATTATATTTCTAATTGAAGAACAAAATACTATAAATTATTTTTAATAAAATATTATATATTTCTCATTGTTATATATAATAATAATTTATTAAATTGTTAATAAAGCATCTACTACATGCACATATTATAGAAATGAGTTTATGTTATATTCGAATGAGTATAACAATTAAAAGAAATGAGCGTATTTTTAAGAATTCAAATGTGTCTTTGAATTTTTCGATGCTCCTTTTGTAAGGGTACATGTGTTCATCTGGTATTGGGTTTGTGCTCCTTTAAAATGTCATATCAATGCATATTTCAAAACTACCATATTACATTAGATTGACATGAGAGTTGATTATAGAGACGAAAGTAGAGGTCATGATACTCAATTGCATGATTCTAATACTCAATAGAGAATGTTTGATGCTCCATGAAAATGTCTTGATGCTCACTCAACTAAAAAAACTATGAATTTTATACTAATGCTCATTTTATAATTTACGAATGCTCAATCGGTACTCAATTGCGCGTTTCTAATATCCAATAAATGATGTTTAATGCTCAATGAAAAATGTTTTGATGATCAACTAACAAAGCTTTTTATTTTCATACTAATGCTTATTTTGTAAGCTACATATGCTCAATCGGTACTGATGTTATGCTCATTTTTAAAATGTCATATCAATGCATATTTCAAAAGTATCATATACATTAGATTCACATAGTGAACTTCATAGGAATTGATTGTAGATATAATTTACTAAAATAAATTATGATGCTCAAATACTAGACTCCTAATATAATCAATAGAATAGGTCTAGTGCTAATTAAAAGTTTATTAATGCTCTTTTAACATAAACCGTTATTTTCATCTCAATATAAAAGGTTTGATGCTCAATGAAAATGTCATGACGCCCAACTAACAAACCTTATGATTTTCTTATTTATGCGCATTTTGAAAGTTGCGTATGCTCATTTGATACTAATATTATGCTCATTTTAAAATGACATATCAATGCATATTTCAAAAGTATCATACTACATTAAATTCGCATATTGAAGTTTATAGAAGTTGATTATAGATATAATTTAATGAGTTTTTATAAAAGACAACATAAGAAAAAAAAAGTGAATTATAATATATGAAGTTGATATCACAATACTCATTATTCGACTCTTACTACACAGTAAAATACGTCTGGTGCTCATTAACAGTCTATTAATGCTCATCTAACGAAAATCACGATTTTCACTGAAATTACGAAAATGTCACTGTTTTTTTAGTTGTAATATCAACTTTCTTGTAATAACATGGTGCTCATTATTAGACTACTAATACTCATTACAATTGGACTATTACTCATTAATAGTACACTAATGCTCATTTAACAGAAATCGCGAATTTCACATTAATTACAAAAATGCCACCGAAATATTTTGCTATTTTTCACATGGGGCTGTTATTGGGTACCGTACAGCCGTATGCACTATATAAAAAAAATGCTCATGTCGTTTAGATGTTAAATAAAATCGCAATGTAGAAGAAGCAGCATTGATACAAATTTGGGAGACTAGCCATAGCATAGCAGGGCCGGCTATGAGGCTGTGCAAACAGAGCCTCTGCACAGGGCCTCAAAAGTTAGAAGGCCCAATTTTTTAATAATATATATAGTATATATATATAATAATTGTTTAAATGATAAATAAATGTTTGATGTTTGAAATACGAACTACAATAGCCCATTTGAAATTTTGAAACACGGTTAAACTTGGAAAGGCCCAACTCAAAACCCTACTTCTACACTCCAGCCTCCAAATTAAATTAAATTAAAACAAAAAAGCTAAAAACCATCCCACTTCCCAAAACCATCCCAGCTTCTCTATCTCTCGTCTTCTCTTTGCTTCTCACATGCTTTCCATTTAGGGTTTGAATCTCTTTACGAATTCTGCGATTCTTCTAAAAAAACACAAAAAGAGTTGATTTATTGACTTTGCCGAACGATTCAACTACTCGTGTTATTCAGCCAAAGCCAAAGGTAAAATCTTTCACTTTTTGTTGTCTAATTTCTCAGCCTCTTATGTTGTGAAGTTGTGATTTTTTCATTTTAATCCGTTTCTTTCTGATTTTATGAACTGAACAGCAAGGTAGGGCAGTAGGCAGTGCATCGCTAGTTCGCTACGTTGGTATTGGATCTCCTGATTCATTTGTCCGAGTCTTACAAATAAAGCTCCAAATATCAGGTTGTTTCCCTCTTTTTAAACTCTGTTTCAGGTTATTTTGATTTCTTGTATTTTGATATTATGGCTCCTGGAATGAGAAAGTATGAATCTGGTCATGATAAGCTCTTGAAAAGAAGAAAAGTTGAAGCATTAATAAAATCTCAAGCAGGAGCTCTTGATAAATTTATCAAACGAGACACTCAAGTTTCTGTTGAAAATCAAAGTTTTAATGTGGATGGCTGTGATGATGTGATAATTGTGAATGATAATGTAAATGCAGGATCTGGAAATTATAATGATGTGCTAGTTGTGAGTGACAATAATAAACATCTAGAGAATGAAAATGTGAACTCCCTAGAAAATGAAATTCCAGATGTAGGTGATGATATTAACGAAAATGAAGGACCAGTTAATTCTCCAGAATTATCTCATATGGTAGATATATTTGATCCAAGAAACTGGGATGGTCTTAGCTCTAAAATGGTTGATTTATTAGTTATAGAGGGTCCAAAAAGAGATTGTTCTATTGTCAAGGGCCCTAAAGATAAATTTTCTAGACGATTTACTGCAAATTTGTATACTAGAGTTTTATCAAACGGGGAGAAGTGTGATAGAGATTGGCTTGTTTATTCGAAAGAACTTGATAAAGTGTTTTGTTTTTGTTGTAAAATTTTTAAAAAAGGAATTGGTAGAGGCCAGTTAGCGAATGAAGGATTTGCAGACTGGGCACATATTGGTGAAAGGCTTAGAGAACATGAAATTAGCATGGAACATGTAAAAAATATGGCTACTTGGTATGATGTGCGCTTAAGATTTGCAAAGAATCAAACTATTGATAAAATGGCTCAAGCACAAATTGAGAAAGAGACAGATCATTGGAAAAAAATGTTACTAAGAATTATTGCAGTTGTGAAATTTCTTGGCAAACATAATTTAGCTTTTCGTGGTACTAATGAAAAGTTATATGACAATAACAATGGCAATTTTTTAGGTTTAATTGAACTTTTGGCAGAATTTGACCCAATTGTGCAAGAACATGTTAGGCGTATTACAAATAATGATATTCATAGTCATTACCTTGGGCACACTATTCAAAATGAACTGATATTTTTGCTTGGTTCTGCAATAAAAACAGAAATCATTAAAAAAATAAAACAAGCAAAATACTTTTCTGTTATTCTTGATTGTACTCCTGATGTTAGTCACCAAGAACAAATGACTTTGATATTGAGATATGTGGATGTCTCCACTAATTCTGTAATCATTGAAGAATCTTTCTTAGGATTTTTGAATGTGAATGACACAACTGGCCAAGGGCTTTTTAATACTTTACAAACTGAGTTGGAAAATCTTGATCTTAGTATATTTGATGTGCGAGGACAAGGTTATGATAATGGATCAAATATGAAAGGAAAACATCAAGGAGTGCAAAAGAGACTTTTAGACATTAACCCTAAGGCTTTTTATACTTCTTGTGGCTGCCATAGTCTTAATTTGGCATTGTGTGATATGGCCAGTACATCTACCAAAGCTAAAGATTTTTTTGGAATCATACAACGTATTTATACAATTTTTGCAAATTCAACAAAGAGGTGGGAAATTTTGAAAAATAATATAAAAGGGTTGACTCCAAAGCCATTGTCAGCCACTCGTTGGGAGAGTCGGGTTGATAGTGTTAAAGCTATAAGATCTCAAATATCAGAATTTCGAGAAGCTTTACTAGAAGTAGCAGATATTGATAATGATCCTAAAATAAGAAGTGAGGCTAAATCTTTAGCAATTAACGAGCTTGCTGATTTTGAGTTTTTAGTTGCCATAATTATTTGGTTTGAAGTGTTATGTGCTATTAATTTGGTTAGCAAGTTTTTACAATCAAGGGATATGCTTATTGATGTTGCTATTGAAAAAATAAATGGGTTGATTTCATTTTTCGAGAAATATAGAGAAACTGGTTTTAATGAAGCCTTAAATAGTGCTAAGGAAATTGCTATTGAAATTAATATTGATCCAGTATTTCCTCAAAGGCGTGAAATTCGAAGGAAAAAACATTTTGATGAGCATACAAATACATCACCTGAGGCTAAACTGTCAATGGAGGAATCATTTAAAGTGAATTATTTTCTTTACATTGTTGATAGAGCCTTAACTTCTCTAAACAGCAGATTTGATCAATATCAGAAATATGAAAATGTCTTTGGTTTCTTGTTTACTTCTCACAAATTAAAGGCATTAGATGATGGAAGTTTAAAGGCTTGCTGCATTCAGTTTGAAAATGCACTTAAGCATAATGAAAAGTCTGATATTGATAGAAATGAATTATGTGTTGAGTTAAAGTTACTTAGACAACTTTTGCCTGAAAAAAAAATGGGTCCTATTGAAATTTTGAAGTTTTTAAAAGGCTTAGACTGTTTCCCAAATACAATTATTGCATATAGAATTTTGTTGACTATTCCTGTGACTGTTGCTTCTGCAGAAAGAAGCTTTTCGAAGTTGAAGATTGTGAAGTCCTACTTGCGTTCAACAATGTCACAACAACGACTTAATGGTTTAGCGTTGATAACCGTAGAAAAAGAAGTCTTGGAGAAAGTGGACTGCCAAGAACTGATTGATGAATTTGCTTCCAAGAATGCTAGGAGAATGGCTCTTTTTAATTGAATGATGTGCAACATGTGCTTAAGTTTGAACACTTTATTTGGATGCTTTATTTTACTCAATGTATTGGATGATTTTGGTATGCTGGAAGCTTCATGCTTGTTGCAAGTATGGAATTGAACAATCCTTATGTACCTGGAATTGAACAATCCGTATGCATTTCATTTCACAAAAAGGCCTCATTTTTCTATTAGCACCGGGCCTCTGAATGTGTCAAGCCGGCCCTGTAGCATAGCATAGCCATAGCCAGCACCAACTCCAAGCGTTAAATGACCGACCATCAGTCACTCCTCAACTATGTCACTCCATCCTCCTCTACAGTTGCCTTCAACCAAACCAGGCGTCAAATCCGAAGAAATCCAAAAGACCCATTCTTGTCCTTTCATTCCTGATTTTCAATGGGTATTCCGCATTACTCGCTCCCATTTCAAAACTTCTCGTGAACTTCAAGGACTCATTACGCTTCCTTCCCCCCATCCACCTCACACATTTTCTGTGTTTCCATGTGTCTGTCCTTGACTTCTCCATCCCATTTTGTCGTCTCTTTTTTCTTTGCTTTTCAAAGGTACCCCATCTATTATACTCCGTATCTTTTTATTATTGATAAGCATGCATTCATGTACACTTTAGTTTCAGCCGAATATTTCATCTTTATATAAACAGGGATGGATATCTGTATGGTTTGGGCTCATCTAGAGGTCAACGTCTTGTGAGGGTATGCAATGTGTTGAACCTAAATAAATTGTTTTCGTTGCTTTATTTGTGTTCACTTTGCTGTAGCCTGAAGCTACTAAAGAAGAGAAGAGTTTGAAACATTAAGGTGGTCTTGTCCTCTAAAGGTAACCACCGCATCTACACAGTCCTTTGCTTTTCGGCTATGAACTTTGTAGAGATTAAGGTTATTAGCCCCCCATTGTCCTTTTATATTTTTGTTTTTGCTTTTACATCTCATTAATCTTCTACGTTGTGCAATTTCAATTTTTATACTGTTTTAATTTCTCATTTTCTGTTTCTCCAATCTTCTGCCCTGTTTTCTTTTTCCCCTCCCATTTTCTTTTCAGTTTTCACTCAGATAAATGTATATTCTGTTTTTGTGAGTAAAACACGAGCTTTCTTGATACCTTTGTCATAACAAAATAATTCCAGGTAGAAAACGTCATATACTGCAAAGAGAAGTGTTTATCAATTTCTTGAAGTGATGGATGGGAGGCGTCACTCTGTTGATATTCCCATATCAAGAACGCTAGTTGCACTTAGAAGAGTGAAATCGCTTAGGGACCCGACGACTAATTCAATGGGAAAACTCTCTGCATTCGTCGAGAATCTGAATTGGGAAACCAATTCAATTTTTAACAATGGGAATAGTTTAGGGCTTCAAGAAAATGAAAATGACCCGGGGGATTATAGTGTTAGAAAACCCAGCTCAAGATTGTTTTCACATGAATCCCCGTACTGGGGGGTTGGGAAAGGTGGTGGGTATGATGATGAAGGCGGGGTAGATGTTAATGGTTTTGATTCAGGTAGCAATGGTTGTGGCATAAGCTCGTGCTGGTTGGTTACGCCGAGACTTGGAGGATCACACGCCATTCGAGATACACAACATCAGCAACAACCACTTCTCTCATCATTGGAGCACTCATCTTTGGAGACAACACATTACTCCTACCAGAGGAAATTCAGACCAAAATCTTTCAATGACTTGGTTGGACAAAGTGCCGTTGCAACGTCTCTTTCAAACACAATCACAAATGGAAGGATACACCCGCTGTATCTTTTTCATGGTCCACGTGGGACCGGGAAAACATGTGCTGCTAGAATCTTTGCAGCAACACTAAACTGTCTTTGTGTTTCGCCGGGTGAGGATGAGGAGAAACCGTGTGGTCATTGCCTAGAATGTGTTCTCTTCTTTTCAGGAAGGGGCACGGATGTCAAAGAAGTCGATTGCTTGAAGATCAACAAAGCGGAACGGATCAAACAGCTGATGAAGAGTGGAGCGATACCCCCACTCTCCTCCCGGTTCAAGATTTTTATCTTTGACGAATGTCAATTATTGGAAGAGGAAACATGGGGAGTTATTTTGAATGGCCTCGATGAGATACTTAAACATCGGGTGATCTTCATAATGGTTACTCCGGATGCTGATAAGCTACCCCGTGCTGTTGTGTCAAGGTCACAGAAGTACCATTTCCCTAAGATTAAAGAGGTTGAAATTGCCAACTGCTTGGGGAAAATATGTGAAGAAGAAGGGCTTGAGTTTGAACATGATGCTTTGGGGTTTATTGCACGTAAATCGAATGGCTCACTTCGGGATGGAGAGATAATGCTTGAGCAGCTGAGTTTGCTTGGCAAAAGAATTACTACGCCATTAGTATACGAGCTAGTATGTTCTCTTTTTTTCTACATTTTTTGCCACGATTTGTAAATAAATAAATTATGTGACTTAACTTCTTTTTTGTCTGGTGGCATAGACTGGAGTGGTCTCTGATGATGAATTAATGAAGTTATTGCATCTCGCATTGTCATCTGATACTTGTAGAACTGTCAAAACAGCCAGAGAGCTGATGAGATCACGGATAGATCCCATGCAGTTGATATCACAATTGGCAAATCTCATAATGGATATTCTTGCTGGAAAGAGAGCCATCGAAGGCCGCTTCTGTAAGTTAATGGACAATGTGGTTTTCATGATGATATCATGGTTCGATTCATCTTAGCCGACCCCAAAATCTTTTGGGAATAAGGCTTGGTTGTTGTTTGTTGTGGTTTTCATGACAGTTTATTATTAGGGCTGTGGCGTTGTGCTCAAAATTTAGAGTTGAAATTCCAAGTTTGCTAGGGATGCTGAATAACCTTTAGTAATTATTCTCCTAGCCTAGTAAATAATTGGGAAACTATCAACTAATTTAACATAGCGCTTGGTAGAGCATGGAGAAAATCAAATATTATTTTCATACTTGTAGGACATGGTCCATGCCATATTTGCAATTAGCTAGTTTACCATAATTACCATCACCGTTACTTGTGTACTAAGGTCTCCTTTCAAAAAGGATAATTTGTCTGCTGAAATTTATGAAAGGAACAGTGTTTAGTAACATCCGGTTTCAGGCAAATAAGTAAATTAAATGCTACTTGTTATTCCGCTGGTGAGAAGAATTTGCTCATTGTAGCTTACAAATGGAGCCTAACTAGTGTTTCAGCCAGGAAGTAGATGAATGTGGATAGTTGAATATGATCCACACCTTATTTTCTGTTCATGGATGTGTCTAAGTTGGTAAACCTGTGATGCTTAGCCCCTCATATGTAGGTAGATGAATATATTATTTAATAAATTATTTGTTATCCGTTTCATTTTCGTACCAGACTGATTTTGTTCTTGTTCATGCCCTGGTTACCACTCATAGCTGAAGTTGGCACAGTGCAACTTAGTCACGCCTTAAAAATACTTTCTGAAGCAGAGAAACAATTGAGGACGTCAAAGAGTCAGTCTACCTGGCTCACTGCTTCCCTCCTACAGCTTAGCTCCATCAGTTC